CCCTGTGGGACTGAAGCTTAATCTAGGTAGATTAAGGAAGTACTGCTACATTCCAGGCCTCTGGGTATCTTTTAACAGCTGCTGTTGAAAAATTAACTATGAAACAGTGGGACAAAGACACACGTTCATGTCCAGTCCCAGGGCAGGCATTCATGGCCTTGGCAGACTGTATCTCTCAAATGAAGACTCCTCTGCTTCCAAAAGGTTCTGGCCCGAATCTCAGGCTGGTGAGTCATTTCTCTGACCCAAACCCAACATCTGCACCTGGGAGCATAAAAACCATAAGAGTGGCAGACCTGTGCCACTGGAAAGTAAGAAATTCACCTTCCTCATGGTAGATTAGTTGTTCTTCCTTTCAGTCTCATTAAAAGATCATTATTATAAGAGCTTAAGGTCATTTTAAGCACTTTTAAAGGTGCCATTTTTTTCAAGTGAACTGGTTGTTATTTTTTCTTGCAATTAAAATGAATGAAGACCTTTATGGCAGGTGGCAACACCTTTCACACCTTATGCTGGAGGGTCAGATTTCATGGATATTTGACTTCAGCCAAGTAGAGGGTGGCAAAAGTCTAAATCTCAGCAAAGGGGAAGATTAATGTGGGTACCCTGGAACACCTGCTGCTGAAGCCATAAGTGCATGGGACACTCTCCTGCCTACTCTGAAGATGGTGTGAACTGTCCTCTTGCCCTTTACAGAAGGAGAATCAGGCCCTTACTGAACAAGATTAATATGAGCAAGTCTGCCATTGATTGTGTGCTGCTGTCCTCACCATGTCAGAGGGCAGGCCAAGGCTGAATTACAGCTACCCGGGGACTCCAAAATACGAGAAGAAATCAAACTGGCAGACACACACTGGAAATTAAAGCATGCTGTATCTGAGAGAAATCAATACAGAAATCAGAAAGACTTATGTTTCCAGTTACTTGCAGCCTGCAACAGTTAAAATCCTGCAGAGCTCTTTCATTAAAACATTTCTTTGCTTAGTCCAGATAAAGAATTCCTGCTCCTTCAACCACTGGCAGTATGCTCATGTAATGCTTATTCCAGAGAAATGTGGATTTCTCAGAGACCCACAAGGAATAAGAACTCACACTAGGAGAGAAATACTGATGTAACAAGAGGGGTTTAAATTTAAAGTTTGGCAAATATAGTTCAACTCTGTAGACCAGAGCTATGTCAGAAGTGACTTTTTTTGCAGAGATCAGAGAGGGAGTTAAATGCTTCCCATACACCAAACTAAACCCTGAAGAACCAATTCCTTCATCCCTCTCTGCAAGTCAATAACCACTTGCAGTAGATGAGTTTGCCTCATTATGAAGCATGTTGATGCTTGTACAGAAGATGGAGTTCTCACTATTCTGCATCTCTTCAAATGTGCTGCTTTTCCAACTATCTCAGCTCTTCCAGCCACTGGTTCCTTTTTGAAGAGTGTTAGCCTCAACATTGCTAACATAAAAATTAAAAGCTTAAAAACTAGAAGGCAAACCACCTAATTCAAATACTATTATTATCATTGTTATTATTATTATTTCTCTTTTTTTAAAGCCATCTTCTGTGTTTTCTGGATCTCAGGATGACTAGAGAGGTTAGCGAAATCTGTAAAGAACTGTGTCTTCTAACTGTGATTGAATTTTTCTGTTCTAATGAGGCAGAAAAGTCAACCTAGATTCTCAGACTACTACACACTACTAGTACTCTAAATAGAATTGCTGAGTTTTCATTTCCTCTGAAAGAAAATCTTGCATGGCTTCACCACCACTCTGCTTGGAGATCCTACTGTAATGATTAGCTACATTCCACTTTGAACTGTTACTAATATTCCCCATATGTAATTAAAGCCTCTAATTCTACACAGAGATATCCTGACAAACAAGCAGCTGTCTGTCTCTTTTATTTCATTGTGGTTCTTGAACTCTTGGCTCAGGTTATGTGTTTCTGGAATGTCAAATAAGGAATTTACTTTTCCATCCATCAGTTTACACTCTGCGTGCAGTTTGATGGCATCTTGCTAATACAGCCTGGTTGCACTGTAATTCACCTTATAATCCATTGTATCAACACTGACTGTTCAATGTGTGACTTCCTAACAAGGTGGCTGGTGCCTCTTAGGTGCTGGGTTGCCTTTGGAGAGTGGTATTTTAAAATGTATGCCCAGCATCAAAACTGCCTGGCCTGAAGTTCCCAACTGTCATAATTAGATAAAACTTCCCTCACTAGGAAAAAAAGCAAAAGAAATGCTCTGCTCAGGCAAGAAGGTGTCCATAGGACAAGAGGAAATGACCTCCAGATGTTCCAGAGAATGTTTATACTGGATGTTAGGAAATACTTATGCAGTGGCAGGATTGCCAAGCACTGGACCAGGCTGCCCAGGGAACTGGTTGAGCCACCATCTCTGGAGGGATTTAAAAGACATTTGGATGTGGTGCTGAGGGACAAGGTTTTGTTGTGGATGTGGCAGTGCTGGGCTGGACTCAATCTAGAAGTTATTTTCCAACAGTTCCACCATTCTATGATCCCACATTTCAAATCTCAAATGAGCTACACAAAAAGCCTGCGCCGCCTCCAGGTGTGCTGCATGAGTCAGTGGGGCACTGCTCGCTCCTCTTTTGGGCACTTCCAATGCATGGGTTGGATCCTGTTAATTATTTTATTTATTTTGATGCCTCAGGAACAGCAGGAAACTGGATCAGCACATGGCAGCCCTGACTGCCAGCTGCAGGACAGGCTCTGGATGCTGGAATTCTCCTCACCTGCCTTTGATCCATGCACATCTGACTGTGCCTCAAGCATGCCCTGCTCTACCTGCAGATACCATGGGGATATCAGGATTTTACAGAGCCCTTTGAAATCTGACCGTGAAGGTGATACAAGAAAAGACAGGAAAATATCATAAGATAGGCACTGTGTTGCTGGCTGATGCACATTTATAAACCAAGGATGAGTCCACAGGTACTGCTGCCAGTTTTTGGTCCAAATTACGCCACGTGGAATTCACAGCAAGTCAGCAGGTAAGACAGCTAAAAGTTGAGTGAAATAAGATCCGAGGCAGTGGTAGGTTTCAGCAGAGGTCCTCACACAGGTGGAAGTGTCACTTGCAGAAGGCCAGCTGGTAACTCACAGGAATATCTGCTGGACCTAAGAAACCCAAGGGAACGATGCCTCTCGGCAAACGCCCTCTGCTGTCACTATCGACAGGGATTTTTCTGCACGGTGCACTCGCTATTCAGCGAATTGCAGGAATCCTGAAATCTAAATCAGAAAGATCAGCTTTATTTCTTCCTCACCCATCACCCCTAGCCACATTGGCCGAGGCAGATTTATTTTGGAGAAGACACTGAGCGTCAGCTGTAGAAGGGGCTCCTGTCCAGGGCAGTCAGCACAGAGCTGTGATCTGCTGATATATCTGCTTTATTTGATGGGTTTAGTGCCAGGGCTGTGCCACCACAGGGCTGTGGCTGTCCCTGCCGCAGCTGGAGCTGGATGGGCTGTGATGTCCAAAGGCACAGTGCTGCCTCCGCCGCACCTGCAGCACTGCTGTGCGCCAGGATGAAAAAACTAAACATGGTGGGGAAGAAAAATAACCTACAGGGACAGAGGGAGAACAAATGCCCTGGACACCCACGAGGGTCACAGCCTCGGTGTGAAAAGCTGTCCACTGGTGCCATCTTGTGGGGCCAGAGCCACCGCCCATTCCAAAGAGGCAAAGCTCACCCCGCCGAGGTCCAGCCCCTCTGACTTAAAGTCTGGGCCTTTTTTTTAGTGCTATTTAACCTGCTTCATATTTCGAGGAGCAGACATACTTCATCTTACCGAAGTACCAACCCTAAAGCTTGAATTTTGCTTAAGCAGAGCGCATTGCAGTGTGTCAACCACAAAAAATTACAGCCCTGTACAGGGGAGTAAACAAGAATCAGAGCAAGGGACAACTATCAAAGCCAATGAGTTTTATCGAACATATCAGGCCACCATTTATACTTCTCCACAGAAATTATTTTTGTCTTTATTAATATCCAGGCCTACACACTGCAAAATGCAGAACTTGGAACTGAACGCAATTTAATGGAAATATTTCAGCACAAAAGACAACTCATATGAAGATACAAATTGATCAGGTAACAGAAGTATGAGGAATAGTAGATTTATAGGTATTATCCTGACATAAGGGAACACTGCTCTCTTTTTGCCTAAATTTAATTCTTCTTCCCCAGGAAGAGACTAAAACTACTGAGCCTTCCAGCTACATTCCCATTTACAAAAAGAGCTGGAGAAGTGAAATTTTATTTATAAAATTATAAGTCCTAAAATAAATGGCAAAGCTATTTTTTTTAGGTCAGTACAGAACTGCTGGATAAAAGTGGAGCTCCTCATATTAGTGGGGGAATAACTGTACAAAACTTAATGAAAAATTAATCAAAAGCACAATCCTTTACTAACTCTCTCATGGTCTCAATGAATCCACTGCCAACAGTAAAATGTGCACCTGACAATCCTAATACCACATGTCAGGATTTGTGCTAAAATATGTTAATTTAAGTAATTAAGGATTAAGAACTTCATCAACAGGTGCACCCTCATGTGGACTCCTATCATTCAGCCAGGGATTCACTCAGAAAAATGTCCTTTTATGAAGGACATTGGTGAAAAAAGAAGACAGCAGCTCCATGCAGTTGGCAAGTATCTTCCCTTTCTAGTTTAGGGATGCAGCAATCATGGTATGTCACCTAAATTCTGATTGGAGATTTGCATAAAACTTCCAGTGAGTGTTGTCACAATGGGATCTTTGATGTCCACCACCAGACAAAAAAGCCTTGGTCCTATTCTTGAATGTACCAGCTTGAAACTACAGTAATTCCTTTGATTAGCATAATTGAGAAGAGCATGTGTTCTACATCAGCTGGATTTCTTCAATAGGCAATGACCATATATCACTAACTTCAAAAGGAACAAAACTAGGCCAATATATTTTTTTAAACCTTCCTCTTCATGTGTTTGTATGATATCTTAAAGGAAAAGCTGTGTAGAGAGACGAGTTTCTGTGCTGGAAAGTATTGCTGGATAACAAAGGCCAGTTTATATGACAGGTAAGTCTAGCTGCTAGCATGCTGTAAGGCATAACCATTGTTGTACATGTAACTATTGTAACTGGTCCAGTCATCTGCACACTGATATTCTTGATTAGACTGAATGTAGGGGTGATAAATTGTTTCTTTTCCCAAGAAATAAGATGGAGCAAGTCTCTTTAAAACAACAGCACTGAACTGGTATGTCAGCTTCCTACGGATCTTAATGATTTCACCTGTTCTTCCATAATTCCTCAGTGCTCTGGCCATTTTCTGGTAAGTCATGATCTTGCGGTTTCCCTTTCTCTCTCCCCACAGTTCTGCAAGTTTCTCCTTGTTTTTGGAGACAAACTGGAAGACACCATTTGGCTTATCCACCCATTGGATGCAGTTTGCCATAGCTGGATCATAGAGAGACTCATGGAGGTATTCAAATAGTCGAAGCTTTTTTCTACCTATAAAGAAATAAATCACAAAGGGTCAGAACAGAACTCATGTTTGTTTTAAAAGACGAGCAGTTGTCTTTTTCCTAGAAAGGGTCTTACAGGCAAAAGCATAGCTACACCTAGTACACTGTCCCAGATTAAAAGATCAGTATAAACTGTTCAGTGGAAGACCAGCAACAGCAAATGGAATCACAGAGATGTGAGCAATGCAGAATAATGGGATAGTCTGAGTGGGAAGGGACCCAGAAGGATCGTCAAGTCCAGCTCTTAAGTGAACAGCTCATACAGGGAGCAAACCCACGACCTTGACATTATCAGCACCACACTCTAGTTCTGAGGGGTGTAAAGATCTGTGGTGACAGAAAGGGATTTGGTCATTAGAGTTTCAAGAGCAGGTTATGTGGGGATGACGACAAATATCTGGTGACTTCACTGTGTGGTAGGTCTCAGAAGCATCAGTCTTCAGAGACATGATGTGCAGATGCAGACTCAAGGAACTCACAGTAGGAAATTACATCCTCAGACCGGGCAGGAAAGAGGTTCTGGAGAGCCAATCTGAACATTCTTGAATAAATGGTTTCCCTGTTTATTCAAAACTCAGAGATTTTGAGATGGTTCAGCTTTGTCAGGTTTGTTTCAGGAGTGTTTTGGGGGTGCAAGGTAGCCCCTGATAGAAGAAAGGACAAGTAGGTGAGCAGGGAAAGCAGGTTAGTTTTTAACCCAAAACCTCATGTAGCCAAAAAACTATGATATTTAAAAGCTGTGATAGTTAAAAAAATCTGCAAAGTATCAGCTTGCATTCCCATACAGAATAAAGCAAGGTTAATACTGAAATATTTGCCAGTTAACTAAGTTCTTCTCACAAGCTCAGTTCTCCAGTTTCCTTGTAAGGCTTGCTTAGTTTCGCTTAGATCTTGTAGATTCTCCTCTATGAAGTACTTCTAGTTCCCTTCCCAAAGCCAAGTGCGGACCAAGAAGCTGCTGTGAGGAGGAAGAATTTAAGATTATCAAACCAAGAGGAACATTTTGCAGAAGAGAGAATCTACGCAGGAGAACATCTTCCACTTTAACCAAAGTGGAAATAAGCAGCTGCACCTGAAGTTCATAAAGTCTTGTGTGGCTATTTTAAACTAGAAACGGGGAAAGTGACAGTTGCTAGGGAACACTGAGGTCAAGACATCTGTCAGAGATGACAGTAACTCTGTATCTGGTGATAAGGAAAGAGGACAGAAGTAAAAGTTGGGCTGGGAAGAAGAAGAGTCTGAAATCAGAGGTACTTTCCAAAAAATTAATAACCTTTCATTATCTAAATAAAAACTGGCCTGTGACTGGAAGTACATATCCTACTAGAAATACATACAGATTACTAAGAAGCTTAAAAGGAAACCCTTGAAGGACACTGCCTTGTCACAGTGGACAATTCTTAGCAGACAGCCTCCTTAGGTCCCTTCCAACCTGATTTATCCTACAAGCTGATGGTAGAATAAACAAGACCAGGGGAAAATCCATGGACTATTGTGGACTAAATTTCTGCTGGGAAAGGATAGTGTAGCCATGTCTGCAGCAGCACCTGATTTAGTACCTGATTTGGCCTCTTAGTTCAGCGGTCATTTCTGCCCATGTTTTCATTTCTAGACACACCACCTCTAGCTGATGTCTTTGTCAGAGAGGGCCTATTTGCTCTTATGTGTTTATCCAGCTGTGTTTCCAGAGCCCAGCTGTTATCCCCAAAGTGCTATACAGTAGTTTGAGTAGGGTGAGTCAACAGATCTTTGTATTGTATCTCATTCCATAAGCCAGTGATCACTTTCAGGCCCTGAAGATCAGTCTAAGCCATCAGGTGAGTGCCTGCAGGTTTCCTTTGTGGTGATTGGAGACAAGCAGGTTCCTCCAGAAGGTGTTTCGGAGTATCTGCATTAGATTTCAGTGCTGAATTGTCCCGAAGCCGCCTAATTGTCTCAGGGAAAATGCATCTAATTCAATTCTGAAGTACCTCTCTTGACTGCCTCCACTCCACTGTGCATTAGCTCAGATCATGGAATGGTTTTGTGGTGAATGAACTGGAACTCTTTTCAGAGGAAACTTGCCTCAAAAGATGTTTTCCAAAAGCGTATCTGAGTCAGTGTACCCTTCAGAACTTGTGACCAGCCTAAAGATTGCCCTAAATAAAATTTTGTGAAACGCTTTAAACACAGGATTTGGGCCCTCAATGCTGATGGTTTCATCTGCAGAGCTATTCCTAAAAAGCCACACTACTTGTTAGTGTACAGAAAACCACTTATGTCTCAACAAAAAACTAGGAGGACTAAATTCATTTAGTATACTGGAAATAGTCCCCCAAATCACAGTTTCTGGCAGGAAGATCACCATGGGCACAAAGAAATCTGTGAGAGGACACAAAATAATCCCATACGAATAGTTAGTCACTCTGCAAATAGGTGCAGGTTGTCTTCTGGAAAAAAAAGATTGATAAGAGTGTAAAGGAAATAGGAAACAGGAAATGAAGCTTAACAGAGCAGTAATAACTGAAGGTCAAATCAGACAGTGACATGTAAAATTCCCCAAAGCAGCACTGGATAAGACTTGGAAAAGCAACATTTCTGGATTTGAAAGGTTTTCATTTGCAATGGAGAATTTCAGATATCTGAAGTAGAAAACTGAGAAAGAGAGGCTACTCTTCCCTCCATCCCAAAGAGTCTATGGCAGCAAAAGTAGTAGTAGTAGTATTAAACAACAGAGACCACAGTGTTCAGCATCAATGGGCAGAGACAACACCAAAAACTGATACCATGTGGTTAAAACTGAGAAAAGGGGATTTCAAAAAAGCAGCTAATTCAGGAAGCTACTTAAAAAGGCCTTATGATCAAAAGTAGGTACAACAGCTCAGAGCTGAAGCTGTGAAAATCTCATCCAGCACTCACAGAAAGGATGCCAAGTCCCTCCCCACCAAATACCCACAAAATGAATGCAATAAAAATACAAAGTATTGCAATGACAATGTCACACAACCAATCCTTTGCAAAATAGATATCAATTCAAGTAAAGTCAACCAGAAGGAGCAGAAAAATCACCATAAAAATGCACACTGGAAGTGACAAAAGCTGAAAGGTGATTTGAAAAGCAAACTAAGAGAGACATAAAATTGGGTGTGCAATAATATTCATGTATGTAAAAAACTGTCAAGAAAACCACTGCTTGCTGGGCCACATAAAATAAGTTGTGTAAGTGGATAAAGATGTTATTGATATCTAGATAGATTTCTCTGCATCAGATTTCATCTTAAATGTTTTGAAGTGAAACATCTCTGGTTTGGTTTTCCATGTACTAAGCAAAGATGGAATAATTTAATAATAGATTTATCTCATAAGATTTAGCAGATGGAAATTGAACACTAGCAGTTGTATCCTAGTCACTAGCAAATGCTCACTTTTTTCTCCTGTAGAAAGTTAGAAAATAATAGGAAAAGGAGAAAGCATGATTTGTCAAGAGGTTGTTTTTTTTTAAGTAACATAAATTACATATCAAGATATGATCTTTTTACAGACCTTTCCCTGCTTTTGGCTGGCTAGCAGCAGTATGCATCACTTGACTTTCTGGAGTGTTCTGCAGTGTATGGTAGACAGTCTCATCTGCATAAAAATCCGTGGCACTGTTCTTCAAGAATGAAGACAATAAAAAGTTACTAATAGGGTACATTCCCTGAATAAAAATAAATTTGTGGTGATTAACTGCCCAAAGCCTTCAAAATGCAACTTTTTATCATCTCACCCATGGAAGATTTTTCTCAGCCATGAAGGCACTCAGTGTAGTGTACCAGTAACAAGCAGCACTAATTCATGTCTGGGGGCAAGAGCTGCCCACCAGAGGAGAAGCTGAGAGGGAAAACAGCGTAACTTCCTCACTCTGGGCCTTCACCCCTTCTGCTGGAAGCAGAGCAGGAGCAGCTTTCAGAGTTAGGAAAAGACAAGGGCCACCTGGACAGCAGCTCCAACAGACTCTCTAGTTCCCATGCTGTGTTGTTGTTAATCTGCTGGTTGAAAATTGGCTTTTGTGGAATTTGTTTCCCTGAAATTATCTCCCCTGCAATATTAATTTTCCATCACTCCTGGAGACCACACTCCCAGTGCTTTTAAGAATGCATATGGACTCTAATGGCTGAAGCTGTGCTCAGATAATGCTGGTCTTTCCAGAACTTTTAGAACAAATTGCTGTCGGAGAAATCAAAGTCATGGTTCTTTTTCACAGTGGCAGAAGCTACATCAGGGTTGGAAGTTGTTGTTCTCTGCCTGTTCCCAGGTAATACAAAGAAGCCCTTTTTTTCCTATAACTAATTCCCTAGTATTTGTTAGTTGTCATGTTATGTGATGAACCACAGAAGAGAATCAGAAACAAGCTGCTGACTCCTAAAAAGATATTATTAATCACATTTTGCAAATATTTCCCAAGGCAGTTTTATCTGAATCATGCCTGGCCAGACCAAATTTCTGTTAGTGTTAGCATAATTATTTGTATCAGAAATCCCAAATGAGAAATCAGTTTCCAGTTATTAACTATTATTAGAAATTAATTCACTCACAATCACATTTCTCCAGTTATACCCTTGCTCCTCCACAGATGGTGCTGCACAGTAGCTGGGACTTGCTCGGAGGTGGTGGTGATGGTTGATCACAGTCAGGCAGTTTTTATAACCTGAATTAGGGAGAGGGAGCAAAAACCAAGTGAGTAAAAAAAGAGACAAGAAGTTAAAAAAAAAAGCAACAACAGCAAATAATTTGACACTGTGCTGGGCCTGTTCAAAAGCATTTATCCTGTGTCTGCCTTCTAGATAATAAAGTGCCCAGAGCCAAGATGTTCCACATCAGCAGGTTATCTAACAAAATCTGTACTGCTGCTGCTGCTAATCACTCTCTTGGGCTGGTTTTGTTAGCCCTCACAACGAAAAGCAATTTTTTTAAAGATAAAATGCTAGATATTTCATAACATCATGAAATTGTTTGGTTACTGGAGAACAGAGGGCCATATAGACCACCAGACATAGTGAATTGGATAAATATAGACTCCAATAGTACATCTAGAAAGGAAAAGGGACTGTCAGACAGTTCTGCATGCCTTTAGTACAATGCAAGTCAGAGTCTCCAATGGTGAGTGAAGTGAAGGAACATCAGAACATGTGCACTGCCTGAAAGAATGACACAGAAGGTACCCAAGAACTTGTGATGCTTAAAAGAAGCAGAGGACAACACCAGACTAAAGACATTTGAAAAAATTGCCCACTGCAGGTGGTCACAAGAAGATATTGGAGGGTATGGCTGGATCTATTGCAAGTGGAAATGTGGGTGCAGCTGTGGGCAGGCTAAACACTGCATTGCAAGGGTTTAATAACTCCATCAGCCCTAACAACATATAGAAGGTAGAAGATTTTATGAATTATATATAGTGAATCCTCCAGCATGTGCAAATTACCAGTGCAGTGGAGCCAAAACTTTGCTAACAACAGCTGAAGATACAGCCCTACTGGTCTTACTTACATTTCATTTCATAATAGATAATATATAAATAAACTTCCTCATATGAAAGGCATTTCATACAAAAGACAGCAGGTACTTTGTTCTGGGCTTAGAGGGTTTATAATGTAGCCTCCTTGCATTTCTGCTTACAGTGTAAAAACACCAAACACAAATTTTAAATTTTATAGTAATTTAATTACCAAAACCTTGCCAGAACTGGAACAATTTACAGCTTTCTTGCATTTTAGGTTTTGTAAAGTATACAACTCTTGAAGCCAAGAAAAAAAAAATTCTATTAATTATCCAGATTCAAACTATCATTCCTGAGTACAAATATTTAAGATTTATATATTAGTGAACAAAAAAATTAAATGAGGAAATTAATTTCACTTGCTCTTTTTTTTTGTTGTTGTGGTTTTTTTTTGTTTTTTTTTTTTTTTTTTTTGTTTTGGTTTTTTTTTTGGTTTTTTTTTTTTTTTTGCATTGGGATTCATGGCATAACAGGAGGGCATTTTGAAGTTAAAACATTAAAACTGGAAACAGGCTGTTGCACAAGAGTCATATATCCTCTGATTATGGGAAAAGTGAGCTCAATGCACCTGGGGTGGTGGGTGAACAGAGCCAGTCCTACAGTTTCCCTGTGCTGTGACCTGGAAGATGCTCACCACACTGGGAAGTACTCATGGAGGGGTGGAAATCCTCCAATTTTCCTCCTTTTCATCCTCACAAAACATCCCATGAATCCACTTCTGGGGAATTACTCTCCCACCTTCATGTTTCAAGAAGTGCTTTCCTATAAAAATAGGAGCTGGGAAATGAAGTAGAATAAGGGTGTTTGTTACCTGGTGGACACTGCATTTCTCTGTCAGAGTGCTGCTGCAGCACTTCTAGAGCATCTTCAAAAGCCTGGCCCAGCACATCGTGGTCAGGAAAGTTCTGCAAGAACATTTTTCTGTCAGGACCCAGAAAAAAACAGGCTGGTTCTTTCAAGATTGTCAATCAGCCCATCCTAAATAAATGCAGTGATGGATACACATCCTCCTGGAATAGATCTTTGGCAGGCACCAAGGCATCACTATAATCTTTTACTATTATGAGAAAGCTCTCACTCCTTTGAGGTCAGTGAGACAATTCACACGGGCAGCATTACTCAGCTCACTCATCAGATGTTTCAAGGTTCATTTCCTTAATTTGCAAAAGAAGTTTACATAAAGGGTGTTACTGCTGGTGGAGAGTTTTATAGTCTGTGATACAGAGATGTTTGTATCACTTGTGCAACACTGCTTATGAAGCCAGAGTTATCTTTCAATAACATTGACACGACAAAAATAATTGCATATATTTTCTGAAGCAGTTATGCAGAGAAAATATTACACTATGCCATACAGGAAACCAAGTGTGGATTTTCAGAAAACTGTTTATTATAATTTTAGAACACCTTGTTATATAAAGGTAAAGATACCCTCAAATTTGAGTTTGACTGAGTCTTCTGCAGCATATTTGAAACAAAAATAAAGGAAATACAGGTGTTGTAGACTTACCATTATTTAGATATCAAGACTTGAATCCTGTTTAAAAGAACCAATATTTTAAAAATTGTATGTTTCAAAAAAATAATAATTCTCTGAGCATAAATTAAAACAACTAAATGAAACATCTCAGTATTATTTCCAGTTACAAAGCAAAATAGTTTCAAAAACAACAGATAAAAAAGATTTATTATTAGAAGCTGATATTTAAACTTGTGACATTTTATTTTTAAAAATTCAAATTATTTTTGTTAATAAGTTTACAGTTTCATTAATACTACAACTTTTGGATTATTATCCATACCCTCACAAATACATTTTTAAAGACATTAGGAAGTGAAATTTGTTATTGTTGACATTGAGTCTTAGTCAACATAAGATTTCCCCAAGAAAATACTGGCCTACATTAAATGCAAGTGTTTAAGTCCCTTTGGTTCACAGACAGTTGAAACAAGCTTAAAGTTTTTTTCTAATATAGATTAGCATATGACTGTATATGAACATACATAAACACTCAGACTAATTGTGACTTCCAGAGGCAAATTTGATTGTTTAATAAACAGTGTAAATAGACACTTTTTCAGACAATTTAATATGAACAATATTACTCAGAAATATGTCCTTAGTACCTCCTTTTAAATTTGTATTTCTTAAAGAAAACCAGAATCAGGTTTTGTTGCTTTGCAGATTTCCCTCCCCCATCAAAACTGTAAATATAATAATCAATACATCAACATTTTACTCATTAAATACTTGATTATTGTGTGTGATGTTTCAGAATACAAAGAAGAGACAGGATACATAGATATTACCAAGGAAGAATTTTATCCAACATTAACAGTGAATGTTCTAAGCTGGGAGTTTTGCCTCAGGTAAGTATGTTATAGGGTATGGTCAAAATTTGCAGAAGTGCTTTTAAATCTTGACAACCAGGCAAATAATGGTGGAATCCTAGCAACTCAGTAAATTGACCTCACTGAAATCAGAGGTATATTTCTCTCTGAGTAGAGTGCAATAAGTATTTGAATTATCTGATCCAAATCTATTCTAAAACCAGAATGGGCAATGTCAATCCTTTAGCTGCAGCAGTAGCCACAGATTCCAAGGGTTAAAATCCAAGGCTATAGAAATTAAAGACAGGAATCTGCTTTGTAAAGCTTCCCACATGTTCTCCCCATGATTTTAAGCAATTCACTTTCCTTAAAGTGAATTTTTCCAACTCAGACTCCAAACTGATACCTTGACAGAACTTGTACAGTCACCTCAATGCTTTGCAAAATCTAAAACACACAAGTATAGGCAAGGTACTGTTGAATGGTCTTACCACTTTCACCATTGATTTCATACCAAAGAAGAAAAAGGCACACCTTAAGTAAGCTTAAAAAAACCACAAAAACCTGGACACTTACCTAGAAGTTCAGTTCCACACACAAGACAAGAATCTGTCTGGTTTTGGAAATGAAAGAAAGACTGACTTCCCACAGCAAAGGGCTGGCAAAGGGGCTGCATTAAATAGTTGATTTTAGGGAAGTGTTTTGCCTAGGGATTTTTTTGAGAGTATAGGTACAGTAAACTGCTAGCATGTTCCTTCATTCTGCACAAAAGAGGGTGATTTATACTGATATAAATAAAATCAAATGTTTTAATGTCAAAACATGTGGTTTTTAAGCACTGGGAGAGATTCATTTTGTCAATGGCACCTTCTAACAAATCTGTCACTGGTATTGTGGTAGGGTGAATCTAAAGCAAACCCCTACATCCCTCATCCGTCCCACACAGACTGGAGTGGTCTTTGAGCTTTCATCTGAACCTTCTTGTCAGCTCAGTTACCTCTAGGACCAAACCAGACCTCAAAATAAGAGTTTGAAGGAATTTCAGAATTCTGCTTCAAAGCTCCTGTTTGTAGCCCATGCCCAGCTCTAAAGCATTGACTACAGGATTCAGTACAGATTCAGACAAGCTGTAGTTGATGATCTGCCAAACACTTTCTAAGCAGCTCCAAGACATGATGTTGTATCCTACAGGAGCAAGAACTCTGTGGGTTTTAGCTCAGAGCTTCTTACTGCTGACAAAATCCAGTCTGTGCCATAGGTCTTTCCAGCCAAGTCTTTCAGAGGCACATTTTGCAGAATTTCCTCAGCATTTGCCACAAAACTGCTGTAAAATAGTAATTCTTACATTATTTATGTGTATTCTCTCAACCAAGAACCTAGTAAAGAACTAGCCTGGTTATGAAAGCTCAGTGAAAGCAATTTGAAGCCATCAACCATTTCTGATGGTTTCAGATGCAAGCTGCCTTTTCAAAATTTGCACCAAAAAATTCAGGTTGTCTTTTTTTAGTGAAATACATTAATATATGTATGTATTTTTTTGAACTTCAGGTTCTATTTTGCACCACTTCCCTGGTCTGACTTTGGGATTATAAAAGAAAATTAACTGGCAACCAGAGAGGACAAGGAGGGAATGTGACAAGGAGAGAAACAAGGGAATGAGGGAACAGCAAGGTCAGAGGACTTGGAGATGCTCCATAACTGAGCAGCCACAGCACCGAAGAGATTGTGGCCCACAGAGTGACCATAGTGGAGCAGAGGAAATCAGTGAGAAGGAAGCAGCAGTGAAAGAAAAGGGTGAGAAGCCATGATGTCTTGACCCCAAACCCCTGTGCCACTCATTGCCTCACCAAAGGAACTGACTATAACCTGTGGAGATAACAAGAGGGGAGGAGATGTGTCTGGAGTGCAGCTGAGCCTGGGAAAGGGGAAGGAAAATATTTTAATGTTTTTCTTCTTTGCTTCCTAATACCCAAATCAGCAACTAAATATATTATAGCAATAAGTTAAGCTAAATTCCCAAAGTGCACAAGCAGCCTTGAGGGTGCGCTGGCTGGGCATAGTGAAAGAGGGTGAAGGTCAAGAGATGAAAGCTAATGGTTTTACCACCACTAAAATGATCCATCTTCCTAAATCAAATCTCTCTATCAGAAATTTATTGTTTCATATGAGAGGTTACACCAGAAGGCAGGTCAGCAAAAGGTTTTTTTTCAGAGGAAACAGGAGAGTGCCATACACAGCACAAGCACACAGCATAAGAACAAGAGCAACTGCTGTCTTGTGGGGGAGTTTTAAACTCTGCCGCCCATTTGTGCATTGAATCTTTGGCCCAACACGATCTTAGAGCCAAAGCCCTAAGATCAGCTTACCTCCCTGCAGGTGTTCAGAAGAGGCAGAGGAAGGTGCAGCTGAGGACTGAGTGTCAGCTGACTCCTGTAACACATCACAGTGCAGCCAAGATTGGCGGCATGATGACCTCTACTAAGATATACTATTAGAGGAGAAAGCCTCCTTTGATTTTTGAATTGGATGGGAGGATGGATTCCAGATAAATGTCTGAGAAAGAGAACTTACTCTTCACATCTCAATGTCTCAAACAATTGATGTGCCTGATAACAAAATTTGAGTGTCCGTTAGAAACCACAACATCGAGCTCTTCTCCTTCCTCCATGTTTTAAAAATACACTTCAAACAACAGAATTTTGTTTAAGCTTTAGAATTTTCTTCCATCTCTGCTTGGCATGAAAGATACCTCACAGTGATGGTACAGTAGAAGCATTTTCACATCTGAATAAAACCCAGAACTAAATAGTGTATTACAGCACTTGTCAGAGAGTTTGAGAAAGCATAAAGATTCTTGCATGAGGCATTGTTCAAATATAGAATGAAAACCAGCCTTGCCCTTCCTAAAGGAATTGAAAACTTTAAATGGCAAGTTTTCTCACCTAGCATTTGTAGATTTCTTGAAGTTTTTTGAACATCAGGCAATTTGTAACTGCCCAAATAGACCCCTCAAAATAGAGGGTACTTTATAAAAAAACATCCTCAACGTGACAGCCACAGAGATTTCCTGTGTTTCCATACTTGTTCTGGCCCTTGATAGATGCCTTTGCCACTACTCTTCTGGCCAAGCAGCTCTGTAATAACCTTTGTCTTGAATCCTCATGGTGTAGATTACACAATAATTACACCACCACAGATATTGTCTCCCTGAAAGTGGGAAAGCTGAGGGATCACATGCCTGTGCTCACCTCCTGAGTCTAACCATGCTGACCAGTGAACATTAAAGTCTCTGCCATTGTGCTCCATTCAAGGCTCAAAAGAAACTAGAAAGTTTCTTGGAGCAAGGATGACGCCTTTGCTCCATGCAGGAAGAACAGGAATCAACACATGGAGAGGCCTTTACATGTAGTGTGCAGTGATGATCTAGGAATGAATATCTCACAGTGAATGAGTCTGCAGTCTGAATTTCAAATTAGTTGGCTCAGAAAATCCCTGAATTCACATTCCCAGCCCTGGAATACAAAGAAATCTCTCCTTATAAACCCCAACAAATAAACTGAAGTCAAACCTCCAAACAAACACAAAAAGGAAATGAATGCAGCTTATTATTATTATTGTTTACCATTATTTTGGTCAGATAATTTAGTATAGAACACATATAAAAATACCCCAAACAAACTGAAAGGGAAACATAAAAACAAACAAAAAAAAATTATGGCATCATATCATATTAGCAAATCAGATTATGAAACTGACTCTAAAAGTCTGATTTGTATTGGAAAAGTTTAGTCTATACTTTAAAACATGGGGTTTTTTTATTACTTCAAATATGAAAAGATGAGGACATATCAGAATTTCAAATGCTTCAATTGCCTTACAAATAATTCTACAAATTGCAAACTCTCTGCAATGCAAAATATAGACTTTTATAGTAATTGGTGGAGTTATGGTACTGTTTCCTTAGCTGGTGGAAATTGGTATAGAGCCACCAAAGCCAAAGGATCAATGATGATTTCTGCAAACAAAGGTTGACACCACTATTATTTTCACTACAGTAAGGGGAAACTTGCTGTGCCAGCCTTAATGTTGCACATACTCCTGTGAATTCCTGATTTGTTTTAATTTTTTGTCTGTCTTATGAAGCATTGCAGTTGGTTAACAAAAGAATGCCATTTTGGCATTTTAATTCTCATAAGAGTTCTTTATAGTTATTTTCCGGCCCCTTATTTTTGAAAGAGCTTTGCCCAATCATCTCCAAGTACATCTCATGTGTGAAGCTTTTTACCCCAAGAAAGACAAAATATATTGAAAATGCTTTAGAAATTTAATTTTAAGCCTGAAATAAGATATTATCTCCTTCAGACTCATGTCCTTACCACTAAATATGAAACATTTGCATATCCCATTGGAGGCCTTCTGAACATGGATTGTAAGTTATGATCCAACCTTAAGATTTATTTATTTGGCTAACATTAAATCTGTAATAGATTTCACTAAGAACCATAGAATAATTACAATCATAAAATCAGATATTTGGATAAATTATTGCAGAGGTTAGGTTTAAGCATGGAATTACCTTTTCTAGGACTTAAAAAGAGAAGAGCAGCATGGAAGCTGAAGCTGCGTGTGTGGGCAGATCAGCTTTTCAATGGAAAACCCACATCTAAAGCCCCCATCTTACAACTAACCCCAGCATATTGGTCCAAATGCTCATGTCAGCAAGGCTTCTCAGGGAGCTTCTTCTTTGGCTTCATCTAACCAAAGGAAGTGAATTTCTGATGGGAAACCCCGTTGAGATAGAAAACCAGAAACCACAACAGAAGCACAAGGAACTAATATCAAAAAGTGCATTGTGAAAAAAAAAAACAAAACAAGAATCAGCCCTAACTAAAAAACTCTGAAGTGAAATATGAACAAATAATTTTGGTTCATTTACAGGTATAATGAGTACTGTTAAATACGGGGATAAATAAAACACAATAATACTTTAGCAGAAAACTCTCAGAGCAAGATGGGAACAGTAGGACAGCACTTCATAAAAATAGCAAAGAATAATGGGAAGAGTTCTACTCTAGATCTTTCTAACCCAAACCATTCTATGACTTGACAATTAGAAGGTGAACCTGATAAGGGATAAAAGTGAAAGACTTTCCCTGAAAAATAAAGCAGATAAAAAGAAGAACACAGTATTTAAATAACCCTTAATTGTGAAGCTGGGGAAGCCAAATAGAAACTAACAGTTTTCCAAGTAACTGAGCTATTTGTAGAAGAAACATGCTTTCAGATTTGAGGGGCACTTAGATCGCACAGGATTCATTCAACACTCCATTTCAATTCCATTCCCTCTAAACCATTAAGCTGAGAGCTGAAAAATGTTAAGTCTAGGTGACAGAGCCTTTTCAGCTACAAAGAATGGAAGGAAGCAATTGTGTCTGTTTCTGGAAAAGCTGGAAAGAGAGACATAACCGCTGTAGCATCTGCAACCATTTAGAATTAAAGACCTTTAGCAGACATACAGAAGCAAACAATAAATTTAAGAGTGTTCTAACCTTTTTAAGTCAAGATACACCCCAGGTTCAGGCAGACAGACCATGTAAACATCTATTGAAGCACTACATCTGTAGCTGTTGAATAGGAAGAAAAATCAACTTT